GTCTTCTTGTAACTGACAGCTATCTTTGGAATCATGCTGGACACTTTTGTCTGGAATGTAGCTTTTGGTTTCTTCATCTGATAAGAACAGATCTTCTTTGATTTGGGCAATGTTTATCGGTTGCTCTTTGCGTGATAATAAAGTTGTGGACGATTCTGATTTTGTTCTTGGAATGTTTTCTTTGGTATTCCATGTTAGATCTGGTTCTGTTAGTAGTGAGTCTGTAGAGTTTAAATCACTAGGGTATGTACTGACTTTGTTGTTTTCAATTCTTTTTACAGTTTCGACAAGACTGTCTTCAGCATTGTTTCCATACGACTGATCTTTATTCCTTTTAACATGTCCATTGCTTCTAGAAGATAAGTTTTCATTTATCACGGATTTTGTCTCTGTTAGGTCAGGAGATATGGCTAGTCTACCTTGGTTTACTTGTATACTGGTATCAGATTCAGTTCTTGCAGGGAGTTTATTCAACGCAGCATCAATTGTAAGACATGGACTAGGTGATTTTTCTTCAGTGGTTGCACGAAGACCTGTCTTCAGATTCTGAACTTTGGGTAATTTGTTGCCATATATGGTATTGTCTGCATTATTTCCTTTTATCAGTGGAGGTATCGGCTTTGAAAATTCTGTGGCATCTATCTGGATTGGCTTTGAATTATTTTCAGCTGCCTTTAAAGATTCAAATTCCAATCTAGTGTCATCTGCAACAGGAGTTATGGAGTCATGGTCAGAGCTCTTTAGTTCTTTTGTACATGTATTGTGTGTTTCTGTATTTTCTTTGGCTTCTGTCCTAGGCCCTAGTGGATCATCATCAGGAGCTTCAGCATTAGAAATTGGTGAATAAAGATTTTCTGGTTCTGGACTCTGAACTGAAAGATCGTCTACTTTAGGCAAGGGATTTTGATCTTGATCTTGTGCTTTTTGTCTTGGCACATCAAAAATTTCATTTTGATTCAGAGCTTCATAGTAAGCAATATCTTTATCCAAATGATGGCAAATCTTGTGACAAAAGTTTCTTCCATATTTCTTGATCTTTCTGGTGATTTTGAATTCACATCTGGAGCAGACAGGAAGGCAATTCTGCTTATCAATAGTCACTTTGATCAAGAAGCCATCTTTGTCTGCAGTGCAGTATCTGGTAAAATCTTGATCTGACTGAAAATTGTCAATGGCTTTAAATTCTTTGTTTTGTGGATGCTGGAGTTTTTGGAAATCCAGTTGTTGTTGGTGGATTGAATTAGAATTATTTTGATTTTGGAAATCATGTCCTCGAGAGATCTGCTTCTTGTGCACCAAATCAAGACCAAGATAGTTGAAGTATTTTTTGGCTTCATCAGTTTTGTACATGGATAAATCCATAGATCTAGGATTCTCGGGGACATCGGACATGGAGACCACTGAAACTATTCGAAAATTTGGTTCTGGAGTTTTAGACTCAAAGCTATTTTTAGACTTCTTTAGAATTGGTGTACCAAAGTTTGATGCCTGATTTGAAGTTTCAGTTTCAGAAGAGTTGCTCTTCCGTTTTATTTCAGAGTTCTTTCCCTTAGAAATAGTGGGACAAGGTTCAAATGAGGTAATATTATTAACTAAAGTATCTGAATTGTCTACTTGACGACTCACATTTGAAACAAACATATTTACATTCTCTGGGTCATTTGGATCTTGATCATTTGCATTGATAGTTAATTTTTTCGCATGACCTTCATTTGCATTGCTTGTTAATGTATTCATATGACCTTGATAATTTGCATTAACAGGTGTATTCATATGACCTTGATCATTTTCATAGCTTGTTAATATATTCACATAACCTTTATCATTTGCATTATTAGTAGGTGTGTTCTTATGACCTTGATCATTTGCATTATATATATGTGTATTCACATGACCTTGATTATTTGCAATATTAATAGGTGTATTCACATAACCTTGATTATTTGCATTATTAATAGGTGTATTGACATGACCTTGATTATTTGCATTGCTAACTAATGTATTCATATGACCTTGAAGTTGTTCACGACCTTGAATAAAATACATATATTCATAAGGATTGCCATTTGTCTCCAACCAAGGGAAGACAACTGGCAATTCTCTTTGTAACATTTCCCTGTGAACACCAATTTCTTCAGAAAAACGTCTTCTCAAGCGTCTTCTTTTCTTCTGTTTGGACGCTTTTTTAACTTTTCCGTGTCTTACATCATTCCCTGGCCTAAAATATAGAGAAGAAAATCTAATTGAAAGAATCTATTTAATCAGGATAAATGTGCTCAAAGGACGTTTGGTTATCTAACCCTTGGATGACTCTTGATGTTGTAATATTTGAAATTTTACCTTAGTCCTAAACTAGGTAGGTTTATGTACTATGGGCTTTTGCGATTATCAATATATATATATATAAATATATGGATGTTATAGAAACAACATTTACACATTATGGATTTTGCTTTGTATATTTTTGTACTATCATAAATGTCTGCATATTTTTAATAATGATCAACTAACTCATGAATGTTTCAGCTAAAAACGTCTCAAATAAAGGAGTATATACAAGCAAGTATAAACATTCAAAGACATATTAAAGGGATTGTATAGAGGTTTTCTAAACTTTGTATCAGGGACACTGAAAGCATCAATTTGTACCATTCCAATTCTCAGTCAGACGTCTGTAGTTCCTGCAATTTCACTAAAATTCTAAGTGTTTGATGACTTCACTAATCGAAATGTGATAAAGCATTTTTTAATTGCAGGAACCACAGACATCTGATTGAAAATTGGAATGGTGCAAATTGATGATATCAGTGTCCCGATATACATAAATCTTATAGAAAACTTCTTTACAAGCCCTTTAATCAAATATAGCACTCATTACTTCCAAAATTATTAATTAAACCAACAGCAAAGCAATTACCAAGTATTACCGTCGCCAGTCTGGTTGGTTTGGAGATTTGCAGGAATGGTGCTCCATGTATGTTTGGTACTAGTTTCTAGAGCTGTTTCATTCGGATTTGGATTATTATTCAGATTCAACAGGGTTGTGGAATTACTGTAGTTGAAAGGTGATGAGATAAAGGTAGGGGAGAGAACTCTACCATGACTAGCTGCTGGTGGAGGAATGTTTTGTGGACTGATTGGTTCAACTGAGCTGTTTCCACCCATATTATAGTTATGATTATTCACATTGACTTCATGAGGTATCCTAAAAAGAAATTGTAACTGAAATAGTGGATTTGGACATTCCATAAAACTTTTCCATTGGACCCATTCCAAAGCATTTTTTTACAAACAACATGCCAAACCCAACCTCGATTTTTCAGATGTGAAGATTGTCTTTAAAGCTTATATCATTTAAACTTAAGTGTCAAATTAGCTACGAGACTATCGCAAACGTTAGAGCTCTAAACCTTTTTTTAGAAATATGAAAGCCTTTATTAAAATTCAGTTTTGAGTAAAAAAGACAAAATTCTGATGAAGCTCAAAAGATTACTAAATCAGTACCTCTAAATACCTACTCATTCTTGACAGTTTATATGTTATACATCTTACCTAATGCCTATTTGAGCAGGATTATGATGTAAACTTGGTGGTGGGAGTATGGAACTGACTGGAGTAGAGAGACTGGAACACAATCCTCTATTACTGTAGTTATAAACAAAATTCTGAGCTGAAAATGAGAAATTATATTTTGAAATCTAATGTTAATCAGAAATCTAAGCTTTTGGTCCACAATAATTTTGAAACTCTCAATGAACATAAGATCTTCTTCAGTTCTCTCACCAATTTTTGATAATAAATTTATACATCAATGTTACGTCTTTGCTCGTTTTATTTTTCAAGAAATTAGATTACCTGCAGGGTGGAATGGGCGTGGCACTGATGAAGGTTGAGGCATGTTGTTATATGGACCAACAGTCTTCAATGGTATAGGAGTTAGAGGATATCGAGGCAGAGTGTAGTTGAGAGAAAGAGGTAGTTGAGATGGTGGTAGTTGATAAGTATTAGGCTGAAATCCTCTAGACAGTATTGAGTTGTTGTATTGAACTTGACTGGTTACAAAATGGCTATTATCTTCACATATCAATTCTCCTGCAATTACTTTCATCTTTACAATGATCAAGAAATTACGAACTTACATCTTATACCTTGACTACAATAGCCACCTTTCTAGTATCACAGAAGTTTATAAATGCAGTGTTCTGCATATGGAAATGAGGATAGACGTAAGAAATATTTTTGGTTTTAAATTTGTACAGTATTAGAAACTGATAAGGGTCTTAAGATTTTATATTTATATTTAGATTATTCAGACCTTATTTTAAAATAAGGTTTGTCAATTCTCAGATCATAGCTTTCTGTTATAAGATTAAATCTACTTACCTGTGATATCTTTGCTGAAATCAACATTCTTCAACCATAACATAACATCACTGAGTACCTTAGGGGTTAATCTCTGAAATAAACTTTGAATTTCTTGCTTGGCTTCTTCATAGGTTATCTTAGGACCATGAGTTTCATAGATATCTAAAGTGTAAAATCATTCATATTCAATATTTGTTGTTTAAAATGAGGGAGGTTAAGCTTGATGTCAGATCAGCTTGATTGGACTATTTAAGCTTTTAGGCTTTACTCAGTCTCAGTTAAAACTTATTGGTCCATTTGCAATTTCAAAGTCCACATCAGTATACCAAATTGTGCCATCATTTCAAACCTAGATCTGATGCAATGGATGTCATTTAGCTATACATATATTGTCACACTTATCCTTCTCCAACCATGCACAATATAAATACTTTACCATAAATACCTGAACTTTGACTTGAACTATCTCCTGCAGCAAACCTATCCATCTGACTAACTGTGCTGGATGCCTGTTTGGTAGAGCTTCTTTTTTTCAATTCCATGATTGCAGGTACACCCACTGATTTTGGAATTCCGAGTCTATTCAAGGGAATGGAGAAGACACAGGCATCTAAGACTTCAGGGGTTATATTCTTCAGGCATTTGTTAGAAACCTGTTTAGAAATACCAGCTTGGGTGCAGATCAAATACATGACATTTCCCAAAAAGTTTTTGCCTACTGGTTGGTGATAGTACCATACACTTGCTGATTTACTGATCTTGTATTTTGGTCTTTGAAATAAATCCATTGTTTCTGGATGGAGTTTTGACAAATACTTGGCAAGGGAGAGAACTGGACATAAGGGATGGTTTCTCTTCTCATACATTTTCCTTCCATCCTTATTGCTATTCATAGAACTATCAGACCCTGTATCTTTCTTCAGAAATACAAACTTTCCAAAAGCATCATTTCCAAAGATAAAGCAGTTCTTTGTCAATATTCTTTGCTTGCTTCTACCGCCTTTGTTGAAATATACTGCCACTTCAAACCAGACTTTGTATTGTAGAGTTTTGGGTGAATCTTCTGCAAACACTTGCAAATATATCTGCCGCAGCTCATCAGAAGTTAAAAACAGTTTGTTCTTATCTCCCTTGTCAGTGGATTTAAGTTTCAAAGATTTGATAACGGTACTAAATATTTCATTTGAGTTGAAAAATTCGGAGTTTTCAATTATGTCGAAACGTTTGCCCTCAGCCATTGACTGAAAATATCGATTTAAACTATATCTAAAAGATGTCAAGCTACTGTATGAATAGTACTCTCCAGTTTTGGTTCTAACATTGCTGTAAAATTTCCCCAAAATCTCATTTAATTCGGCAAACGTCATCTTTTCTATGTCAGCAGATTCCCCGTTTGACACGCACCAGGCTTTTAACAGTGACACTGCAAATTTGACGCATTTTTCTGTGCTTTTGCTAAATCCGGTACCACTAAATTCTTGAGAAGAAAGATCAACTTCAAATTGTTCACTTTGGGAATCTGTCGATTCGTCCGGTTTGTCAATAACCATAATGTTTGACTCAATATCTTCAACCGAATCCAGAAAGTCATTATCATCTTGCAAGGCCGCCATTTTGGTAAAAACGGCGTTGATAAAATATTTACTGTAACAACACAAAATATCAATATTTTAGTCTATAACACCTAAAATCGTCAAAAATATTGCGTCAGTTTTGATATAAAACAGTGTTGGCTACTTTTGCCATAAAGTTATTCGTAGGTTTCTTACAAATCAACGAAATATAATGGAAAACACAGTTTAACCTTCAAGGCTCCACTATGGCCTTCGCGTTGTTATCTTGACGTTATGGCTGCAGACGTCACGTCACGTGAGATTTTTTCGTCGCGCGCATCTATAAAATAGTCTCACTCTGCTTGACAAAAAATGGTTCCTTTCGGCCCGAACCGGTAACGCATATCATATTTTTACCCTATTTTCGGTCGTGATTAAGAAACTCAATTGGATCTTTGTCAAACCAATTCCAAAAGAGGTTGAATACTTGCATTGTAAAACCAAATCAAATCTCTCTGGAACAATTGCATTATGTATTTTTAACAGCGCAGAACATTTACAGTAACATTTCAGTTTTATAACTTCATTACTCAAATTGATAAATGTTTTCTTCTTGTGACCTTGGCCAGTGCTTCTTTAGGACAGAATATGGGTTTTGATATGGTCCGATTAAACAGAGGAAGTATGACGAGTGTGGTTCGGACACGATGGATATTATCTGAAATTTCATTAGAATGCAATTTATTAAGGCACTGATTTCTGCACCTTGATCACACAGGAACATAGCTTTGTCAAGGTCGCTTTACAATCTAAGTTACAATGAAGCAAAAAAGATTTGGGCGGATTTAAAATACATTATGAGTGCCAAAGTTTAGTTCAGTAAGGCATTTGTTTCCATCATAAACGGTTTTGCTTGCATTTGCCAAAGAGCATGTAGCAAGAAGTGGTTGATAAAAGTGGGTCAATGGTCCTTAAAACTCTTTAAAAAAAAAAAAAGTTTAAAGCTGAAGCTAATTTTGAGGTGGGTTTGTCAACTCTCATCCCCTTTGATATGACTATATGGTTACAGGGCAAATTCAAAGGAAAAGAATGGAACAAAATGATTAAGTGGATTTTTTTATTTTCTTTTTCCAATTTTTAGTTGTATCCATTGGCTGCCAAGATTTTGTCGAACTCAGCTGTTTTGGCAGCAACATTCTTCCTAGCTTGTGCTTTCAATTTCTAAAAGAAATAAAGTGGTTATTGAATATCATTATGGGCAGACAGAAAACAGAAAAAAACAAAACAGGAATTTAGTTACTTTTCTGTCTCAGATGGTGGTGCATGTATACGGTTTTCATTAAATAATTTTCAATTTAGTGAAATTAACATAATCATCACTGACAGAATACAAAAGCAAGACCATTCAATATATATTTCCTAATCTTAATGATGAAACATGGTCTAATGATGACCACAACCAATCTTTTAGTAACTTTCAGGTCCAATGCTTACCACAAAAGGAGCAGTTTATTTGATTTGTGCTAGATAAGTAGTGATTAGAACTATATCAACAGACATTGTGTTCATAATTTGTAATCCAACCTCAATATAAAGTTGACAATTTAGTTAGTTTTGAATCATATGAGAATATGCGAAAAATTGCTTATCAACTGAATGATCTTAATATATTAATAATTCATATCTTACAGCTTGATTTTTCTTCTGAGAGAAATATTGAGATGATCTTGTCTTTCTACGTTGTTCCATGGTTTCAATAACGTGACTATACTTCCATCCAATTTCAGAAGAAATTCGGTTCAATTCACAGTACTGAAATGGGAAACAATTGTTGGAAATTGGGGACAAATATGCACTCAACACAGGTCACATTAATTCATTTAATATTTATAGCTACAGATGGATTGGAGGATTTGAATTGAAAAGAAAATCTGATGTGACTTTGTTAAATTTTCAGGATAACATTAACTGTTTTCTTTCCAATTATGGTTGAAACTTTTAATCTGTCTCAGATGGTGGTGCATGTATACAATTTTCATTAAATAATTTTCAATTTAGTGAAATTAACATAATCATCACTGACAGATATAAAATTTCATGCACAATCAGAATAGCATATGCCTATTCATTTCAATGGCCATTGAATCTATTGCGTGAGCACTGTCCAAATCAACTATCCAGACACCATTGCCATCCCTCTGAAATGTATCATCAAAAGGAGGCAAAGCTGGTTATGTCTGGATTCAAATCTTAAACTCCAAGGTATGAGAGCATAGAAATATCAAAACTTACTTTTCTCTGTGGATTGAGTCTGATAACTCTAAGAGCTGAGGGTATAACTACTCGTTTCTTTTTATCATAGGGAGCAGGGATACCTTCAAATACAGACAATCTAGCCATAGCTTCTTTACCTCGTACAGTTCTGTGTGGGATCATACCTGAATTGAAAGTTTCAACACCAGAATTAGCAAAGTCAACAAAAAAGTTTAAAAAATATTTCTCACAATCAACTATTATGACAAGCCTACTAAGCAAATTTTAATTTTCACTCATCAATGCAAGAGATTTTATAAGAAAAGAATTCAACTAAGTTATCATCTATGTGTGCTCTCTGAAAGGGACGCAACAATAACATTGCACAATAACATAAGTTACTGGTACTCTGAAATTCAGCAGAGACTGCAGACCTAATTGACTATGACCATCTCATGCAATAAACATGTTTCAGTTACATAATCCTGCAAGCTACTTTTGGAAATAAAATTATAATCTTGGACAAATTAACAGCAATGTTTCTGGATACGATTCTGTCTCAGATGGTGGTGCATGTATACAATTTTCATTAAATTATTTTTCAATTTAGTGAATTAACATAATCATCACTGACAGATCTCCATCATATCTGGCTTGTGTCTTAATACATTTGCCTAAACAGCAAAGGCTAGATCAGATGAATGTATAAAACCCAAATATGATCAAACTCATATCCCATGTAAGGATAATTCATCAAAGGTTTAACTCAAAATAGTTATGTAAAATGCTTTACCTCTAACAGTTCTGTAGAAGATTTTTCTAGGAGCTCTAAAATGAAAAGGACCTCTTGAAGGCTTAACATTACATCTCTTCTTAATTAAACTAAGGTAACGATCTGAAAAACAAATTAAGATAAAATTCATTACCATACTAGATTTTTTTAAAGATCATATCGCCCAAATTAACACTAAGATTCAAAACTGTAATGACAAGAATTAGTCTCTGTAAGTAGATGTATTCCAATCAGAAATCAAATTTTGTTGTAATCTGTTGCTACAAAATTTTAAAGAAATATGACATCCTCAGTATCATTCAGTGAACATTCTAATCACATAATTTCACATTATTTATAATCAGACAATGTAGGTAATATCAAACATCATTGGATAGTCATATTCTAACTGGAATAATCTTAACAGAGAGCAAATAATAGCAACTATATAATGTATGGTCAACATTGTACCCTTGAATTGTAAGTATGATCCTCAGCTTCATTCAATGTTCTAATCACATAATTTCACATTATTTATAATCAGACAATGTAGGTAATATCAAACATCATTGGATCATCCAACTATTGCATTAACAGAGAACAATTGACACCTATGAGATCAATTGTACAGGTGCCAATAGACAATTTTCTGATTTTCAAACGCTGTTCATCCTTAGGCGATTACAAACACTCACACACCTTCTAGAGTGATTACAAGCAATAGTAGATAGATGGACTGACATGTGTGATGCAAATATTTGCTGCTTATAAAAAATACCAGCAAACACACTTGATATACGTTCCATTTTCTATTGTATCAGTAATCCAGTATCAAATTGCACAAAATGTCAGCTTCATCTATTTGCACCTTTAGTCTAAAACTGTAAAGTATCATCCTCAGAAATTAATAATATGTTATCATTACACAAATCAAACAATGTAGGATAATAGACATCATTGGATGAACAAATCTAACTTCTCTTATGCTTTTCTTTTCCCTGTGCTTACAAAGACGAACAAAGCCATGCAGTGTGCAATGACAAATTTTGTAAGGACACTGGCATATCTCTTGTTAAGAATACTCTGCACAACTTAACTAAGAAAAGTCACCAAAAATTTTAATACTTACTCTTTTGTCTGTGATATTTTCCAGAAATATTAATTCCCTCACATCTTACAACTGTTACCCTTTGTCCTGCAATGAAACACATTTGATATAGACTGATTTCATAAATTGGAATAAAATTTTGCATCCAAAGACATCAGTACCTAACCCAAAACAACATTTTGGATCCTATGTTGTAGAAACATAATATAATTTTCTGGTAGAGTTTCAATTAATATATCAATCTTTTAGCTTGAAATACCGGCATAAAGAATTTAAGAACCTGAAAAGTTACCTTGGAGTAAAGTTTTAGCAACAGTTGCAGAGAGTCTGCCCAGTAAATGCCCTCGGGCATCAATCAAAATTGGCTGAAAGAAAAAACAAAACACATGGTAACCATAATGTTAATCATTTCTACAATAATGAAATATTTTCAGATGTTGGTGGTGCTTTAAAGACGGCATCATTCTAAGGGATTAGTCATCTAAATGACTTCTAAGTTTGGTAGTACCTATGCCACATGCAATTTTTGGAGTATTAGAATTATGACTTAGACATAGAGGCAACTTTAATTTTAATATGCCACCACCAGGGCCTGCAGGTCTTAGATAATTGCAAATGGAAGTCCCAGTTTTGATGTATTGGACCAAGCTCGACAGACTCTTCTCAAATTCTATTAGACAGCATTCATCCTAACTAAACGATCTGGATATTCGGTTGAATACAACCGAATTTCCCTTGATCAGCTACGTTGATTGTTAGCCGATTTCGGGCGGTTCTAAACAATCGCTGGGCGTTTTTCCTACGGAAATAGATTGAGGGGGGATTGGAATGTAATCATTTTTATGTCACAATAGAATTTGAGAGCCTAATTGAAGCAAGTTTTAATTTTTGATGCGCTATAAACAAACAGCACCTTCTTACTGAACAGCATGATGGCAAAAAGACTGATTTAGGGGTTCTCACGTGTTACTTCACGGGGAAAACCGGAAGTGAAAGACAACTCTGAACATTTGTTTGCTGTAGTCTCGATTGTCCAAAGATCTTCCTTAAATAGTTAAAGGTACGCAACTTCATTTTTATCAAATCAGACCACAGCTAATTACGAGGTTTTTTAAGCCAGTCTTCTGAAGTATTAGTACTGCACGAATATCGCTTAATCCCTTCAAATATACCTCAAATTTTTCTGGATGTGTCTTTGAGGAGTCTCAAGGAAATTAACTCAGATAATTCAGATCACAAAATGGATTTGAAGGATCAACTTTTGACGGTGAGCAGTGAACCTTATTACTGACTAGTTTAGCTTAGAAACTGTTTCTGAAAACAATGTACGATTTGTCAAACAGATGGTGTATCTGTCCCTTTAAGTTTATATCAAAATAGTCCCAGAAAGGTAAGGCTGTTATCAATCCATTTTTTATCGAATATGTAGGTTTTAGGGGTTTTACTACATAAGAGATATAGTACATAAATTTGTACATTTTTCTGGGTCCTAAGTTTTAGCATTAACTTGGTGATTAAATAAATATTGCTTGAACAAACAAAAAAACTTTATTTTTCTACATAATACATTTATTTACATCAACTAATATACAGGCAATGTTCAAATCTTAATATCAATAAAACACCCAAATCATATGCATAATACTGAAAGTTTTAAATTTTTTTACAGTTTAATATCAATTTGTTTTTATGGCTTACACCTTACAAAAAATTCTAATTATTTTCAAAGACAAATTTTTTTTCCTTTTATCAGAGCTTACAATATAATTTTCTATGAAGCTATTTTTCTCAATAATATTTTTTTTATTTCTATTTCTATAACAATAAAAATTTCAAAGAAGCAAATAATTTTTGTTATTATAAATACCAAGGGTATTATATATTAGACCATATAAATGACAAAAAAGTTCACAAAAAGTTTCACTTGTAATCATCACAGCATTCACAGCCACTCCATTATAAATCTGTTAATCCTGCACTCTTCCCTCTTAATCTTTCTTGTTCTTGATCTTATAATCACTCAACGCAGCCTTAATAGCATCTTCTGCCAACACTTAAATAAAAAAAATTATATATTACATTAAGGTATTATTAAACTTACAAATGGCTAGATATAATTATGATTGACAGAATGAATTACTCTCAATAAAGATATTCACAGGACTATATTGGCTATGTGGGAAAGGTACAAGTTAAACTGGATACAGGGAGGGCAAAAAAGATTATTTCCAAGAGAAAAAATCCTTAAGAACCTTTTTCTTATTCATATTTTATGCTAAAATGCAATTGAAAGAATATTGAAATACGTTATAAAACTTACTTGAACAATGTAATTTGACTGGTGGTAAACTGAGTTCTTTAGCAATATCAGTATTCTTAATCTTGATAGCCTCATCAACCTGAAATAATCAAGCAAATATTTCATGATAGAAGTTCCAGATTTGTAAACATTTGGCTTGTGATTTCAACAGAAATGGAAGCCTAAATGAATATCAATTATGTATCAGCATAGTGCACATGATGGGTTAAGTGATGATGCTGTTCATACAATTATTGTATCTTGCCCAATTTCATTCATAGTCTATTATTTACCATTGGCTTGATTCCACTCCTATATCAAACCCAAGATTTATATTCATTTTCTTCCTTTACATCACTAGATAATTTTCCAAGGTTCATACTTAGAATAAGACAACAAATCTCATGGTATAAACTATGGTATGACTTACAGATTTTCCTTTGACCCACTCAGTGGCTAGAGAACTTGATGCAATGGCTGATCCACACCCGAAAGTTTTAAATTTAGCATCAACAATCTTTCCATCATCATCCACTTTAATCTGCAATAAATAACAAATGTCATTACTACTCAATAACGATGAAAATGAAATGAAGGTATAAACAAAACAAATCTATGACAATTACAAATTAGATGCTCTAAAAGCTAATACATTTAAACTAAAAAGTTATGCCATATTTTTACATAAGTCAATGTTTAACATGTACATCCTAAAACAGTTTTATCATTTTGTCACTTAAAACAACAAATACCAACATGATATTGAACACATCCATTGCTTAACCTGTAGAATAACACAACTGACAATTCTATCTGATAGTTTGGCAATACATGAGCATCAAAACACACAGTTCAACAGTTGTTTATACCTGTAACTTCATGACGTCACCACAAGCAGGTGCTCCAACTAATCCAGTTCCAACATCTTTATCTTTTTTATCCATTGACCCAACATTTCTTGGGTTTTCATAATGGTCTATCACCTTAAACAAAAAAGGAATTAATTATGCTCACAAGAAATTATATACAAAGAATTTATCATGAGGGTAAGCAAACAAGGACTGAAAAGCCGTACCATCAACAAAAGTGCAAGACTTATAACAGCTTGTTCTGATGCAACATACCCATAGTGGCCATTGTGAGCAGACTGGTCGGTGACCAGACAACAGTGACACACACACTGACAGTGTGAGTAATATTGACAGCTACTGTCACCGTATGAATCAGAACATACTGTCTCACAAGAGACATCTACACATACAATGCCCTTCAAGCGTTTAGAGATAATGCTTTACTTTCACTTTAGCACTTTTCTTATGTAACCTAATGACAAACATGGAAACAAATCTCTAATATTTGGTAACAATTAACATTATCGCTTGAAAAAGTAGCAAATGAAATGATTAAAAATCGAAATGAAATCGACACCAAAAGATTCGATAATCACTTACATTTTTGTGATAAAGTGCAACTTGAATAGCAGACCGCGAGTCACCTCCGAAAAGTCGCAGACTTTGTCCAACTCCTCTCATTAACGCCATGCTGAAAATTTACTGTTTACAATCCAAGGTCAAGGTTGGGATTAATACGCATTAGACTATATTTCCCTTCATGGTGTTTATGTGGCAAATGTATCTCGCAATATTCAAGTAAATACAATTTGTTTTAGAAACATATTTCTATAGATTACTTTTCCTCTGGATTCACGAGATGAAGAAACACATGAAATATAGTCCCTCGGAATAAAATTACTTCTTTGTCTGTAAACAGGCTCTTAAATAGAGTTGTCTCCCCTCGACCATCATTCGTACTAAGTCATCGGTTCTAATCTTGGTCTGTTTGTGAAAGTCCAGTGCCTTCGATTAAGTCATATTTTCAAATGATTCCAGGAAACCCTACTGTAAGTGGGTACATATCATCAGACCTTTCGCAAAAATTCTAACCAAAAATACTTATTTTTTTTCATTACTCGTTCATTAGTTTTAGAATGTGTAGTATTCCGTATTTAATCAGAAAGAAAATAAATTAAAATAAAATATTTTTTTGTTTATACTCTAAATTTTTCATAAACAAACCCATTCAGACAATATTTGGAATCAGAAAATCTATGATTTGGGGAATTGTCCGATGTCTGAAAGATGTATTACGCTCAAACCAGAAACATTGTATCAATCCATCAACTATTTCTCACCTGCTTTCTACCTTTGTCAGGTGAAACCAATTAAACCTACAGACCCCCTGTCGTGTCAAGAATTTCATTGTCGGCTGCATCCATTTAACCATATAATTTCAAAATACAAACGGAAAATCGTTGAATTCGTGTGAAAGGATTGTCTTTTCTGAAAAAAGTAAAAATATCCGTATTTTTATGTCAAAATTGTTCACCAACGGGTAATGTAAAAACTCGCTTAGAAAAGATAAAAGAACCGCTCCCTGATGACGTTATTAGTTAACTTCCGGGTCAATCCACATTCAGTATTTGACCGTTTGAACGAGAAATTCTCTGTCTGTTTTCGACAATTAAAAACAATAATGTAGGATTTTAGCAAGAACAGCCACGGGATGTAAGTATTGAATATCCCTAGTAAATATCTGCAAAACGGTCCCAGCAAAATCGCATACGGATAGGGCGTAGCAGCCGAAACAAGTTGGCGATCAATTCTGATCGAGAATTTTGAGTGGGTCGGAGCGCTGTGAAATGAGGTCAAGCAAATTAGTGAAATATTTACAGCGATTGAGGTTAATAATCATCATATTTTCGTCTGTGTATATCTCGAGATGCTTTGAAGACACCATATTCATATCTCTATGAGCTATTTTGATCAGAATTTGGTCTGAAAATATGATCGTTGAAGTCAATTAATAAAAAGGAAAGACAACTCTTTCTTGACTAATTGCTAATGAGAATAAGCTCTTTAGACAACCTGCTATTAATTAGGCCTAATTCAGACGAAAGTTCAATTGCATAGACTAATTAGCTATTTGTTACTGAAAGTTATGCAATATGTCTGACCATTTCTTTTTTTATAAGCAGGTGCCCTTTGTGGAATAGACAAGTTTAAGGCCATTGACACAGTTTGACAGGTGTTGCATTTTTCACTATTTTCAGTCATTTGTGGTCCATTTATGTAAATATGATCTTGTGAAAAAAGAGAGAAGGGGGCTAAGGTGCACTAAATGAATTCACTAAATGACATGTTTTTATAAGATTTCATTTATTGGTCTGGTTTAATTTTAATAGCAACTATATTTTTTACCTAGGAACTCTAGTTATCTGGATTTGTTTGAAATATATTGAAAGCACAGTAAAAATGTATATCATTTTTAAGAAAGATATTACAAAATCATATTATATAACAGTGAATGAAATCAATTATGCGCTTTTATGTATGGTGGGATATTCAGTCATATGACAGTTATTCACCACATTGTAATTGTATGTGTAAGCTTAATGAATGAACAGTTTAGACATGAAAAACAGTTTTGAGCAATAAAAAGAAAACATCAGACTCACTTGCAATTGCAGAGTGACATTAAAAGATTAGGAATATGTGAATACCATTTATGCTGCCACAGTTGTAATTATGGTTAAGAAATAAAAATTTTGTTCTGGGACTCAAAAACTAAAGAGGTAAGATCTCAAGGATAGTAAGTCTACTACCAGAGTAATCAGTCTAACCAATTGCCATTGTGTACTTAAATATCAAAAAGTCATCTCAATAGTTTCCACCTTGAAGGCTGTCTGTAATAAACACATACGTATTATGCCATTCAATGCGCCATAATGATATAGCAAGGAAAAGGAAATGGAAACCTGATTTGTCATTTTGTGATGATATAGTTCAGAGTTCAAATTCAAACACCCTTTTGACATGACAAAAATTTGAAGTACCAATTTATTTGTTTCCTGCTTATATTTATATTTAACCTAAATTTATTGATTCCCGAGTTAGTGTGTATATCACATTGTTTATTTCTTCTATTTTCAAATCTGAGGTCATCATTAAGTCTTATTTCGATTGATTTTCAAACAATGATTCAGAATTCAGGATTGTTTCAGCAGCAGCAAATGTTATTCTAGGATATGTGTAAGCTTATATGACGTAAATATATTATTTAAAAATAAATCTTATAAGTACTGTAATAATAATAATTGGATATTGAAATTGAAGACAGTCTTGAGTAAGACATTGAGTGTCAGTTGAAGAGCAGAGAAGTCATTTGATTGTGTGTCTAACATTAACAGGTATTCAAGATCTAGCATTTTAATCTTCTGGGTATGGTAGTATCGACATTGTGTCATATTGGTACCTCCATAATTGCGATAAGTGTTTATTAAAGTGTCTTGTGGACAAAAAAACCAACTAGGTAATGTATGGTACTAATCTGGTTTGTTTTAATATCGGGTTTTCCAGAATTTTATTCACAGGAAATAGTATGATTGTCTAGTAAATGGGTATAACGTGAGCTTATTTAAGCTTTTGTTTATGTTATCTCTAAGGTTGTAGGCTTCAACAGGTTAAGTTTTTAAATATGAATATTACGTGTTTCAAAGTTAGCTTTTTGGACAACCAGTCAGATAAAAAGATGACAAACACAGCCTCAGCAGCATGGCATCAGGTGTTCCTGAGGACCCGACATTGCCCTGCTATTGTGAACTATTATAAGGTGAACTATTAAAATCAATGAAAGGTAAAACAGGCATATTTTTGCTACATTGAACTAAAATATAACAGTTTACTCAAGTGGTATGAAATGGATAAGCTTTTCTCAACTTTAAAATGGAGATACTGTAAGATGAATAAAGCTCTATTCACTTGATAATGGCTCATTAAACAAACTGAAAGCCAGATGCATGTCAGCAACAAAAGATTGTGCACAGATTTTTTTAAGGTTACTGTCAATTGAGCAGATGAAAAAAAAAACGCCTTTGAATAACAGTAAGGTGGAGATATGCTAGTCTTCTTTCAAAAGCACTTAATTTTGATATAATTTATGGCAGTTTTTTTTATCACTTATGACTTACATTTTATTTTATTCAAGTGAGATAAATTAGAGCCATAGATATGTAAGCTCAAAATCTACATTGTGCATGGACTGCTGTTTTAGAATGAAGTGTGTAAGAAAAAATTAAAAATGTCTTTTGTTCTGAATGTTAGTCATAAAACTTGAAAAAAACTGATGAAATATCTGAGTTTTAAAGTTACTTGATCTCTTCATCATTCTCGGAGAAAATGAATTTTAGGATTTCCAAATGTGTTGTAATAGTTTTTAATTTGTTTAGACCTGTTGTCATTCAATCTGGATTCCAAGGGTCTAAGTGAGCTAGGCATTTGGTTTAAAAGAAGTCTCTGTCTCCGACAAGGATATTGTCAGGGATTTTCCATTGAATTTTCTTTTACAATGCTTTCAAGGGAGAGTTATAATTCATTGACATTGACATTCATAAGACATTGTCAAATTCACTGAATTATGCTAATTAATGTATCCCATCACCAAAACAGATGTACAACCAATGAGATCAATTACAAAGATTTTAAGCAACTGTTCCAGGCCATATTTGGTCGAAGCTGTACATAGACAAAGAGGGAGTGGATGTATAGGCCTGTTTCAAAATTGATACATACCAGTTTTAAACAGTCTTAGTTAAAACATGCAAAACATTTAGTATTGAAGCTTTTCTGATGCATTATGCAACTGATGAAGGAGAAAGCATGTGTGAAAATTATTATTTAAGGCTAAGTCAAACTGTAAACAAATTGAAATTTTAGTATTAAGAGTGAAAATGTTTATTAAAGCACCTATCTATGTTGTTAGAAAGCACTATCCAAGCTCAAGATATCTACTGCATAAAACTAAGTGGATTTTTAAAATATCTACCAGTACTTAGAGGTTTGAACATTCAATTTGCATTGGTACCGGTAATCTACAATAAACATGTTGAATATTTTGGTGCAAGTAAGATTGAAACACATGCTTATGTATTAGAACACATTTTAGATTTGTCAATACCTGAATTGGGGTTCAAAACATGATGATAGCCCAGCATGAGCTCATAGATGAAAAAAAAAACATAGTATGAGTCATTAGAAAAGATAAGCCATGTTTTGGGACATAAGCCTGACTGAAAATATTAATTATGATGCAAATGATGCATATAAATATACAAAAACTAGAAACCCTCTAAATAAATAAGGAGAAATAGGGAGTATGAGTCATAAAGAAAAGATAAGCTCTATTTAGGGACATATACTAATATGGAAACTGAAACATGTTGTCCAATGTTGTCTTACGCTGTGCATTTTTCTGATAAAATGATTATATATTATAAATATTTCCTGTCATTACTTCATACATTATAAAAGAAACGTGTGTAAAGTCATTATACATATTTTGATTGTGGTTTGTGCTTGCAATATTCATCGTGAAGACATCTCACAAGATTATTTTGATTTTTCAAACTGTACATTAGGAACTTGCATTGCTCTTATTCATACTGTCACAATAAATAGATGTTATAAGGTGGGCTATTAGGAGTTTCGTTTCTCATGCTGTTTCCTTATGTTTGTAATATATTAAAGTAATATACAGGTATGCCATTATTGAAAACTGGTTTCAAACTACTATGTAATATCACTGTTCATCCACAATTTAGAGTACGGTACCTGTAACCTATGTCAAGTTTTTAATCCTGTATGTTGAAATTGCAGAACATGTTTTTTAAAAAAATGTTTTTATTAATGGTAGAGCTCTAGGATATGATTGTTTTAAGTGGAGAGAGTTTTAGAAAATATTTTTCAGATATATCTTTTTTCTGTGATTTGATGATTTTTATTGTTTAATATGTTTTCAGAGCTCAAGGATCTGGATCTAAAGAAAAGGAATAGTTTGTGGTAAAAGAAATGTGTTTGCTAACCTGTGGTACTGATAATAACTAAAGATGGTTGTGTACTCTATAGTAACTGTAGAAATTAACTGTCGTCTGTAGTATGGCAATGTTACGTAGTGTATTTGGAGGCTGTGTATCAGATCGGAGTTCTCGAGCTGAAGCCTACAGATCTGGAAAGTAAGTTGCATTTTCAAAAATACTTCATTGTCTATACTACCGTTTTTTTTGATTTTTGATTGAAAATTAACGAAGCTGAAGTCAGGATTGCTCACGTTCAAGTACAATGCAAAACATTAACACAAGCAGTTTTTTTTGTTGGTAGTCTAAGTTATCTTAGTAAGTTTGGCTTCTTGTATAATTTCAATTGCTCCTTATCTTATCTGTATATCTTTATTCAACTTAAGTAAACCATTTACACTAGTACTAGTAGTAGTTGGACAATTTCATGTTTTACTTCTAAATCTATGATTTGTGTGTTTCAGAATAAAATTTGGTGCTCCATTAAATATAGCTTTAAAAAATGGATATCTTCCATTACCTCTTATGGTAAGTTTCTGTTTGTTTAAGGGGAAGGATTTAGTGCAGCTGGTTTGAGCGTTAGAATTTGTCATCATGTGTTTTTACAAACAAATGGTGGTTTCGAGTTCTAATCTCTGTTTGCATGTGAAAGTTTGGTGACCTCAAATAAGTTATTATTAAATTTGAAAAATATTGGATATGGATAATCTGGTAAAGATCAAGGCCATAAGTTTGGTCCAAGACCAATTTGTAATATCAATTTGATAGGCAAGGTTTTTCATGACTTCTATTCTTGAAAAGGTTATGATTTGTAATAAATATTAAAGTAATTCATCATATTCTATATATATTATAGGAGATATTGGTATATATAGCAAGAGATGGGTGTACTACAGTAGATTTATTTCGTAGACCTGGTAACCCGAAAGATACAAGAATTATTGTCCAGCGACTGTCAGAAGGGAAACCAGTAGTTTATTCTGATTATAGTTTTTATACACTAGCTTCTGTAGTCAAGGTACATCTTTGTTTTTTGATTAAAAACAATACACATACACTGCAATACATGGAAAGCTATTTAGGCCTGATAAAAGGGTTATTCTGATTTGACAATAAGTATTGCCTCTGAAAGTCACTGACACAGGTCAGTCTGAAACTTCATGTATTAACTAGAGGAAGAACATGGCAAGGCTAATTTAGATACCATCAGATATCTTAATATTTTTTATCTACTTTTGCACCAATAATAAAGCTATGCACAAATTATACATTTTACCAGTCAAACACGGCCCAAGAGTATTCAACATAAGTAATCTGATCTGATATATATATCTATTATAGAAATTCCTGTTGAGATTACCAGGTGGTGTATTTGGTCCTGATGGAGAAGAAAGATTATTACAAGTTTTAACTCTAGGACATAGAACAGAACAATGTCAGGCTGTTCACGAGTAAGATTGCTCATTTCTATTTAATTCCTTCTTTGCAATTTTCATCTATAGATATAAATTATGGTAACCTTTCATTATTTTTTGCTGTAGAACTAGGTCATATTTGATTCAAATTTAGCATAAAAGTTTCTTTGTTGTCATTTGCTTATATTTTTGGTTTGAGTTTGTTTGGTACAGTTGTTAATGAATGTAGCTGGGCGTCTATATTTGAAGTATGATAACTTATTGGTTTAAGAATTAATCAATATTTTTTTTTAGTTAAATCTTCAATTCATGAAATTTTTCAGGTTTATTGAAACATTGAGTGAACCTCATCAACATTTGATAGCTTTATTATTTGGAACATGGTTTAGGATGGTGGACCATTCCGAGATTAACTTCATGTCTGTGGAAGCGTTGTCTAGGAGCTGTGCTGGAAGTGTATTCCACACTTGTGCTGCCGATCCAGGAAAGGTTGAGAAAGCGAGTCGTTTGATGCAGATTTTGATCGATAATTTTGGAGTAGAGAGTATGTTTGGACGTGAAAATATCCAATTTTTTACTGAAACCACTCATACAGGGATACATATTCGTGAACATTATCGATACCAGTATCAATATCCTTCTGAAGAACTTCTACCTCGTAAGTACTTAGTTATATTGCTCAGAATATTCTCTTGAGAGTGCTGTTTAGACAAACTTTACTGGACAATATTAGACCAAAAGACTCTTTTCCAATGATGAGTCTTGGAATTAGAATAAAATTATAAAGTTTATGCAGTCCATGAGGCAACAGTAGTATATGGCCTCTCATCGGTTCCAATCTAAAGTCTATTTTAGAACTTTTGGAAATCGCTTTGAGAAAAATCTGTTGCCTCTTAAAAAATTATATTCAATGACACCTTAACAAATACAGACTAACAGTCACTAAAGAGAGTATTCAGTAGAAACTAAACCATAAAATGTAAAACTAACCCATTGTTCCATCCCATGTATATTAAACTAACCCTTGTTGTATTCAGTTTTATTGAGTTCATTTTGTAGTTTAGTCAGCCCAAGAATAAACTCAATGAGAAACCAATGATACAAAATTAGCTGAATGAATATGAAATTTTGCCTCTTGAAAGTGATTCTTTTTGGGTTTATGAATTTTTGGCTTTGCTCCCATTTGAAATATATATGCTGAAGAAAAAGATGTAACATTAATCCAAATTGGTGTCTTTTAGAGTTTTTTCTTATCAGTCCTTGATGTTATTGTTGTTGGAAATTGTGTTTAGAGTGAACATATCCAGTACACCCACCTGACCCTTGACCTTTCTTTATGCTATCATCATTTCAATTCATTGAAACATGTGAAAATTTGACATCCAATTCAGAGCCAGATAAATTAGGGGAGGGCGCGTTAGTAATTTTATAGATTGAATAAGGAAATAACATTGTTTTGTTGATCCTTTTTTATACCCAACTTTATTATGTTATGTTATTATTATACAGACACAACTACTTGCTAAGTTAAGACGATTCACTGTTATTTGCAAAAAATGTCCTACTCCTCTTTATGCATGTCATTTTCATGTGACCTCAACCTATTTAAATTCAAACCATATCAAACTAACTCAATTCTTGAAAATATTAACCTGTTAGCTTAGCACCAATCATAATATCATGCACCCAAACTTCACCATCATTCACCACCATTGAATGGCCAAGTTTTACTAACCAAAAATTATTCCTTCAATAGTAGTACTTGAAATGTTTATATATCTGACTGCCACTCTAAACAGGTACCGGTAGTGTCTTCTCCCAAGATGTTTACCTGTTCTGTGTGGGTATATGAACATTTCTAGTACTACAGTAACCCCAAATTTCATGCAAAATACAGCAACAAAGGTTTCTTGTCTACAAAATCAGTTGGATGAATAATGTTATCACCCTTATCCATTGGCTTGTCTCAAAGGAATGTCATTCACTCAAATTGCTTTTATAGTTGGCAAAGATATTTGTGCAAATCTGTGATAGACTGAAATCTGTGTCCACTACATTTTCAGGCATTGTAAGTAATATTGAACATGATATAAGTAACTGTTTCCAGTTAATGGTTTCCATTACTATTTACAATATATATATTACATATTTCAAACATGATATGCGATATGTTATGGTTTGTCTAAGTCACTGATTTGCAAAACTCTCTTTGTCAGCTCCATTATACATGTTTAATCCACTGTTTGCTGATGTTGTATTTTGCCCGAAATAACCTGTTTCACTCACCTGAAATTATTTAACCCCCATAACCAATGTTGTGTTTAGTTTAAAGCATGTTGTTTTTGTTTGTTTGTTTGTTTGCATCTTGTTAGGTGGTGAATCTTTACGTTGGATTTATCAACATTTAGTCCAAGAATCGAAAAAATATGGTTTTACGGTAAAACCAGATGGTAAGATTCATTCTTATGACTAACATGCATGGTTTACCATATACTGATCTTTCAAATTCATACTAATCAAATTGTGGCACTGAACTTTCAATTTTCAAAACTAAACTGGGTTTATTCAGGGGGTTGAATAAATATTTTTATTTAAAATTTTGGGTGTAAATTCTATTCACCATGGATTTTTAAAGCTTTTTAGATTTTATAAAGACATGTTAGTTAATTAATTTCCCATCAAATTGGAAAATTTATGTTTTTCTTTCAAATAAAACAAATATAAAACTTAATAGAAAATTAGCAATAACAAGATGTAAAACTGTTTTATTTTATTATTAATTTATTTATTTATAGTTTTGAGTTCCACAGTTTTTGTGTATCTGTCACTATGTTATTAATTCACACCACACTGTAATAAAATTGACTGACCTCACTTCAGTGATATTTGTTGTTCAATATACATGTATTAGTACTAACATAGAAATTGGTATGGGAATTGGTATTTTTCGTTTTTGAGTATGTAATACTCCTATCCTAATTGAAATAACATTGATGGTTTTGATAATCAGTAGTTTATTTTTGTAGTGTAGTAAACAATATAAAGTTTACTAAAATTGGATGATGTAGAAATGCAAAAAGTTAGTACCACAATGACATCTCAGTGAATGTTCATTCTTTGGAACACCTTATGTCCCTCTGCAGCTTGATTTAGCAACTCAGTTCAAATTTCATTTATTTGACTGTATATTTTGCAGTGAAAACAGATTTCACTAACTTTATTTTAGTTTAAAAACTTCTTTTAGAGGTTTGTTCATCAAATATTTTGGCAAAATCAGCTCAACATCCAAGCTGTATTTGGAAACTTTTATTAAATTTTGGTACCGGGTGAAATTCCTTTGAAGATATTTTAGTAGTACTTTATGTGATTTTAAGATTTAAAATTTTTGGTAAGGGGCACCTGCACAAACTAAACTAAATACCTGTTTATATGTAATTTCTTGCAATAGACAATGTTTTTGTTTTAACAGATTACAGCTCCAGAGATGATTTAGGTCAACAAAATTGTCATGAGGATATGGGTCAGTCAATTTTACAGTTTTCCACCTTTAATTTCATTCATTTGTTATGAAATATCCTTGAAACATTTGTAATTATTTCAAGCAAAACTCCCAAATCATATTTGATGCGAATTTGAAATGATTAAATCAAGACTAAGAATCAAGATCCCAGAGTTCTGTATAAACATCCCATCTATAAGATTTGAATACTAAACTATAAAATGAAACAAATCAGTTGAACAGATCAATAACAGGTCTCTTTGTCAGTTAGTTATCAAAATACTGCTAGTAGAATATCTTCTCATGCTTCTTAGAAAATTTTATGATTCTCTTTATTGATAAGTGTGGCTTAGACTTCGATAAAATACTTTTCATAAATTGATTTTTGAAAAATAGGCTGATCATATTAGATTACATATAACCACAAGTAACTGCTGTAGACTAATTGAATTCTGCAGTCTTTATTATAGAAGATTTTAGCCTCTGCTTTGCTTAGATATTCTTGAAACAGCTTTAAACAAAGTATTGTTCTAAACATGGCTTAATGCTTTAAAGATATCAATCAAATTCTACTAGATAACAGATTATTTGAATATTTTTTGATTGTAGAATTTATAGAGATGACAAGAGTAGAAGGAGATGTCCATCAGGAACAAGAACATGATCATAGTGAAAGTCCCGAATTAGGATCACCTGATTCTGTACGCCATATTAATGTTTCCACATCTTCTGCCCAGGAAGATAACTCTAAGCTCAAAATAACTGTCACTACAGCTTCTGCTCCAGAAGTATGTTTAATGCCTTCACCTGAAGTTTCCAAGGTATGATCAAATTTTATCTGCCAGATACATCCAAACAAGAAGCGTCAAAACTGTGCTTAATTTTAGAATTTAAGAATTTATTTGCATTTATTGAAATTTTTTTCTAGGTGCACATTGGTCATTTGTTCCAATTAGATACCCATAACTTTACAAATTTTATTCACCATATATAAAAGATAAAGGTTTTTTTTGTATGTCCATTATTTAGAAATTTATTTTTTTGCTTGCGTTGGTTGAGAAAGCTCCTTTGGATTTTTACTTCATTTCCCTTTATTGACACTAATGCAGGTCAAAATTATTCGGGAATAATTAAGTGAACTGTGGTTCACAGAACATTCTGTTTTTTCCTATCTCAGCAGCTCTAAATTTTTTTTCAGAGACCAAAGTCTATGGAGAACAATTTAAATGACACTACAAAAACTTTTTATCAGAGTCGTAGTCTTAGTCGGTTTAATTCTGTTAAACGTAAACAGTTGGAGCGCTTACGTCAGCGATCCGATTGGTTCTTGGGACCTAATTATAAAGAAGTGCGTATTAATACAGATCATGAAGCAAGAGGGTCCAATTTAGAATCGGGCAATGCCGTTACTCGTGCATCATCAGAGGGAGCTGTTTTGGAAGTATTTTCTGATGCCGATAGTGTGTTTACAGATAACACGAGTCGCAGTGAGTCACCAGCATCAGAGCCAGTTCGTAGTTTTCTAGCGAGTCAAAATGTAGGTCGTGACATTATACATAGTGACACGTTAGCAGAAATGACAATGTCAGACATTGGACAAGTTGCTGACGTTAGTCACGACTCACGTGACATCACAGAACAAGATATGACAGAAACTGAAACCCGTTCATTTGTTGTTGAACATCACTATGGTAACACTGAAGCAGATTCCTAGCATCTCAATCAAGTTCTATTTAGAGACTAATTTTAATTGTTTCTAATGAAAGTTCTCCATGGCAACATGGCTTGCAGACAGATAATTGGGTGTCAAAGGTCAAGAAAAATTTCTCAAGAAGAATCAAGGAAGAATTTCTATGAATTTTTTTACTTTTTGAATTTTTTAAAGATGCACTTTTCCTGAAAAAAAAATTAAAGATTCTTGAACCACATATTTTAAGCAAAATTTTATTGTTTTTAATGAATTTTTCCAAAGATATCCATATTGTAAATTGTATTCCCCCTAATTGGTGTTTATCTATTTCTATATTGTTGTGTGTAAACACCCATTGAAGTCTTATATTGCGCAGTAACATTTAGATTTCTGCTTTCTTCTGCTTTGTAAAATTTGCTGTTTAGAATTTAAAAGATTTTGTTTTGTCAGTATAGATCGCAATGATAAATTTTATTAACTATACATTCTGAAATCTTGGAACTCATGTATAAAAAACATCTTCAGAGCTAAGTTTCTTTTAAAATTTCAGAACCTGATATTAAAGTTGATTTTTACCAAGCCTTGCTTCTCTAAAAATATTCATAATTAAGAATTTCTATTGTACTGTATGTACTGTCTAAATTTATTGTAAAATTCTTTAAGAAAAGCTGGTTCTGAGTCTGAAATATCTGTACTAATCCTTATTATGTAATGTACAAACTTGAATTGGATGCATAAAGTAATTATCTTATATGACCAGTAAAATGTTACATAATAACTGTTACCACAAATAGAAATATAAAAGTTTAATATAGATGTTTCAAGTATTAATATTTGTAATTAAGTTAACGTTTATGTTGTATGTCATTATCTAGCATAATCACTGCCAATTTCACTACATTCTGTATAACATTGTGTATGAGGTTCGGAAGAATGCAAGATTATTTCTTTGTTAACCCTATATCAGTAGGACATAACACTCCTGTTTCATCAACCCATTGAGATATATAGAAACTTAAGTATTCATTTAAAGAATCTCATTTTATTTCATTTCCTTTTTATGTTGAATGTGGGCTTTATTATCAGTATGGATCTAGATCATTAAAGTATCTGGGCCCCATTCCACAAAATTCTTGAGATCAATTTTGACATAAGAACAGTATTTTTGAATTTAAATTTTCTATACTTACGACAATTCTTATCATAAGATTTTTGTGGAATGGGGCCCAGAACCTTTAGAAAAATCTCTGTCAAGTTACTTCTGTATAAGCTTTATGAGCAATTATCATAAACTGGCCTTTGCTTTCAATGCTTATGATTATGTTTATGGTAATCTGTTGTGTTGAGAATATGACATACACATACTGAAACTAAAAGTATGAAACATATAGATTTTGCTGAATTTCTTGTTCAACCAGCTTTAAACTTGATTATTGTAGAATCTCAGTACGAGTAGATACATGATATAGGGCAACTATTATAGAGCTTTCAAAGGATCATGGACATTTTTAAACAAATATCAAATTTTGTCTGGGTTTGAAAAGTCAGCTTCCTTTTTGGAGAGCCCACATATTTATTAGTACAGAAATGTATTGAGTCAAGTAGATCAAAGTTATGTATAATTCTTCCTTGAAAATATATTTGAAAGCAGTAAGTAGGTTTTTCTGTTGATCTGCTGTCATGAAGGGAACACATTGGCAATTCAAATATCAAAGTAAATTTAAACACTTGAAAAATTACAAAAAGGAAGAAAGTTTCCATGATCCAATGAAAAAAAATGAAGAAGAAAGATAGATATAAGTATAAGATGTAGATGTTTAATTTAAAATGAATTAATTTATGGTAGTTTTAGAAAAGTAATTTATGATCAAGAAGAAGAAGACAGAATGTTGAAATTAGATGTAAATATTTAGTGAACAAATTTTGTTAATCCCTGCTGCTATTTCCATTTCATTTCATATTCTTCAAAAAATTAGTTTCCTTAACAAAAAATAGATCTATCTGGTATCTGCATATTTATTATATTTTAAAGAAGTCTATATCAGTACCATGGAGTGATTATAAGAATCAATTTCAAACAACATTATTATAGCAATTTTTTTTCAAACAAGGCATATTTTCCGAAATTTTGACTGGAAATTGAAATTTTTAAAATATATTTTGAAGAATATGAAATGGAAGTGAAGTTGTAAATTTGTAAATTAGGCTTGTTGAAAATATATCCCTTGTTAAGTTTGTTAAAATATCTGAAAGCTAATGTTCTGCAAAATCGAAATAATTGATAGGGCTATCTGACTAATTGATATAAGTTTTATGTTTAAATCCCCCTCCCTCCTCATTTCTTACTACAATTATAAAATATCTTGTGTGAATCAGAATGAATGTTCATTTTTTCTCATTATTCTACCTTCATGTAGTTAAATTTATTATGTTGAATAAGGATTGATATTGGGTTTTAATCAAAACTGACACTTGATAAAGTTAACTCAAAAATTTGATGACAATGGACCTAATCAAACATACCCAACTATGTTGATATATATAAACCCAAGTTGTGGTATGAACTCCCAAACTCAAATATCATTTATTTTCAAGCTAATAAGCAAAAGAAATCTGCACACTGCTAATGAATTGAAAAGGCTTTGAAAGAAATATTTTTAGGTTAGAAATATCACAATTGAATAAATAAGAACACTATTATTGATATACTACCCCTTTCTTTAATTTCTGCAACGTTTCAATTCACATACAGGAATCTTTATCAAGTATAAAATAATAATGATGCTTGATAATTAAAGAAAGGAGTAGTATATCAGTAATAGTGTGCTTATTTATTTAATGTTCTATCTACTTCTAAATGACATTTATAGATAATATCCAACTTGTTACTGCGTTGTTTTAAAGAATTTTATGTATTGTGTATATATATATATATATATATATACTATTGTTAGACATGTGATAGACCGTAGTATTGTAGCCATTTGGTTTTTATTGACTGTGCTGACACATTTTAATCGCTTCGTCCCCGTTTTACATTTTATTTTCTGTTTGTAATATTCATCCTTTCTTTCTGAACTAGGACTTGAACTGTCTCATGCTTTTTTCAAAAGATTTGGGTAATTTCTTTAAATTTGAACATCTTAACACTGGACATACACATGGTTGATTGAAATCAATGAAAACTTCTTGGAAATTCATATACATTTACTATATATCAATTTTGGACAGCATCGTGGTGATAATTTGAGGTGATATTTAGCCTTAAAGGCAATGATTACAATTTTTAAAAAGAAATGTTTTTATTTGTGTTAATATTGGTAATATCTGAAGCCGTAACATTATCAAATATGTTGACAGATTTTTAAAATCGATTGATGACAATTGACAGAGTCCATTTTTTGTACACCTATCATACATGTGCAAATTTCAAACTATAAAGGAATTTATTCAAATCTTGCAATAATTCTATGCTTTTTAGCCATTTATACTTTTATTGTTGTATATATGTATTTGCTCAGTTGAATTTCACAATCACTTTTGGCTCCCTAAAAATTTCTCCAAACTTCTTTCGATCCAGATCCTTGTGAAGGAGTGAGATGAAGTCATTCCTCTGAAGTCCCAATTTTTTTCTTTAAAAAATTTGTTTATCAGGTATCCTGATACTTACTCAAGATTTATCTTTACTATGAAATTGTTCAGTTAGTAATATCCACAAATTTGGTAAAGAAATAATTTTTGCTGAAAATGAAATAATGTTCACATCAACTGAGCTTACCTTTGCCTTTAATTTTGTCCATTGTTAATTTATTTGTCTTGCAGTATTCTACTTCAGGTATTAATTGCTTTGTTAACACCTATAGCCTCTCTGCATTTGACCATATACATGTCTAAATATTTACTTTGTAAGCTGGTGGGGCTATATCTCAGCTATCAATTTTCAGAATGAAAAATTTGTATCGAGTAGGTCTTTTTAAATTATGAATGAACCAAATGTCACATTTTATTTTTGAAAAGTGGTACTAAAGACTGAAATTGAGCTCTGTCCTCAGATGAAGCAAATATTTGGACAATTGTATCCCTTTGTGTCTATATATCGTACTCACAATTGCTAAATGCCATTCAAAGACTTTGTATCCCTTTCTGTTAAATCCTTTGATGGATTATCTGAATAAGAAGTAGATTTGAATAACATGTTACTGAAGGCTGTTTTTAAATGTCCCATCCCATAATATCACTATTCTGTTTAATAGATTTCAAATTATCAGTTTTCAATATTTTGTCCATCACATAATATTTTGGTTTCCTTTTTTCTTTTTGGTGATTTGATGTTTGATAATTGTTAATAATACAAAATTGTTTCAAAATGGGTTTTGAATTTGATTTGCAAGAGATACAACTCACTACCTTTCATTTATATTGATAAATATGTTTGTGTTGATCTTTATACCCATTTCAAATTTTAAATCCATTTTGCACAAATTTAGAATTTAATATTTTTCAAACTATGCCATGAAGGTTGACTGGCAGCTAACACAAATTAAAAATTTAAAATTGTACATACAATTGTAAAGAGACATTTTCAATTTTTTCCTTTTTGTATAATTCTAATATTTATCCTTGGCTCATTGTGAATAGATATTGTATATTGATCATTTTACTATGGCAACTGTAATATTCTAAATGTTTAGAAAAGTGTTGTATCTAGGTACATATGACAACTCTGCACCAAGCACTTGTAAAATTCACATTTTCATGAGTTTTTTTTTCAAAATAGCTTTAAAGTTTTAATAAGGAAGCTTTAAGAAATGTTATGATTAAAGAAAGCTCAAGGTGGTCCAAGTCAATTATGCACATTCAAGTCATTTCCAAAACATAAATTTGAAAAGTTTGTATAAGATGGTTGTAAGAACAGAGATGTATTAATAGCACTAGCCTTGGTCATCATGTAAAGACTCATGATAAACCAAGTGCAAGAAGGTGAATATTTAAGGTTGTTTCTTATAGAACATAATGACCTTAGT